GCTATAATAAACCTATCTGTGTGCTAAATATGGCTCCTGGCCTGCCAGCCCATAACTTCTGCTATGCAGGTAGATTTATTTTTACACAGAGTATGAAAATTCCTAAGCAGAAAAGGGGGGAAAAAAGTGTCTCAGAGGAACTAACTGGGTTGATTCCTTGTGTGGCAACCATCATAGCTTAACTCAAGGAGATTTCTCAAGTTAGGGCACTTGGGGAGTATCACTACTCCAATGCTTAAGGAGGTGTGTTCATAAAGAATACCAGTCTCTGCCTGAGGATAAGACCAGAACACGGTCTGTTGAATCTAATAAAAAATAATTGGGGTTTTTGTTTTGTATTCCTTTTGTATCTTATTTTTAGTAATTTATATTTATTACATTTTGTAACAGTATTGCTCTATGACACATGGGAAATAAAACATAAGTAAACAAAACCTTGTCCTTCTCTGCATAATAATTTGGGAAGCACTAATCTCATGGAGAAAGGACTTTCCTTCCAAATTTTACAAAGAAAGAACTCTATTTGGGAAGAAAGGAGAGAAAAAGATGAAGCTAGAAGTAAAACTGGAAATGTGTTTCTGGAATTTTTATTAATAAATTAGTACTATCAAGATAAGGTGTACAAGAGAAAATGACTATCAATAATTTGTCTCAGTAGTACACCAATAATTTATACCTAGAGGTTCTCATAACCTCAGGATTAGAGAAACTGTCGGGCTTCTAATATGTTTTTTAACAGAGATTACACAGAACCAACTTTTGGACAAAGACTTCTCTTTCTTATCCCATTCATTTAGGTGGTATAATTGGTGAGGGTATCATCAATGTTTAGTGCCATTTACATCTTATTTATCCTGTTGAGTTTAAGGCTAGAGAAATTGACACCCATCCCTTCCACTGACAAACTGTTAAAACTTGAGCAAGGTCATTAACTGATCCAACCCCAAGGAAAAATGGAGATAATACCACCTGTCTCAGGATTATTGTCAGCATTAAATTAGTCAGTGCATGTAAAACGCTTAACATAATACAACATATTGCTGGATGTAGTAAGCTCTAAGTAAATGTTAAAGAAGAAAAAAAAAATCCCACAGTTTGGTTCTAACATTACTTTCCATTTAGTAGCACATCAAAGAACAAAAATCATCTGTGATAATGCTGGAAGCCAGAAACTACCTCCAATCAGAAAGCTACATTTTTTTTTTTTTTTAGCAACATATGGATCTAGTTCAACTGGAGTTTCCTGAATGAATGCGGGCCTTTGCAGTTTTCCAAGCACATCCAGTATAGCTCAATCATTGGCACTCGAAACAAAGCTAATGTTCTGAAAAGCCACACATGATAGAAATTAAGCTACCTGTCCTGAAAGTGGATGTGAAGGTATTTAAAATGGAAAGGGAATGACTTAGAAGAAAAGGAATTTAGGCACAGTCTCCTTTGTATAATCTAAATGCAGCTTTCTGATTCCTTTCGGAAATATTCCCAGCGTTAAATATAATACTATTGTGCCCATTAACAAAACAGGTTTCATATGCACTGTTCATGGTTAATGTGTACACGATTCTTCCTCCGATGCCTTGAACATTTCACCCTGAAAGTTGGGAAACAAAACTCCTCACCCAGTAACTAAGCATTTTAGTAAGCTCTTGCTGCTATGCTAGGCTGCTGCTAGGGCCATGGGGCATTTCTGAATAATTGAGTTTAAGCTTAAATAATGATCAGATGCCCCAAGAAACCTACTGACAGACACCAGACTCAACAAAGAAATAGAGGTTTTTCATCACAGTACTGATTGCGTGACATTTTAGACATGCTGTATAAAAGTTAAACTGTAAAAATAATTAAATATCTTTTTAACTTTTTCATTGCATCAGGTACAATGTATTTTTTTAAGTGGGTCATCTATTGTGAACCAAGTATTTCTGCATATTGCATCTTGATTGGGTAACAGAAATTATCAAATATTTTTAAAATTACTGAAATCATTTTTGTTCATTTCATTTCTAAAATATTTTAGTTTTAATTTTTCTCAGCAACTTACTCTGTTTTAAGCCCTGTACATTGCATAAAGTGGCATCTGCAAACCAAACTTCTTGTTTGTTTTAGGAAATAGAATCACTACTTTTTCCCATGTAAGAGCTATACAAGAAGCTCAACTTTTTCTTATTCTTAATCCTCTACTCTTAGCAGTAGAGCTGAAGATTTCAGTAGATATTTTGTTTCTGAAAATGGTGAAAAAGGGAATGGGAGGAGTGAGGTTCAGAAGAGAGAAAAGCCTAATTTATTAATGATTCAGCGAAAGGGTGATAAGGTTAATTTTATTGTCCTCAAAAAGCAAGAAGTAAATATCTTTGGTTAGCATCTAAAGAAAGACATAGGGAGAGAGATTGGGCACCTACTAGATGCCGAACACTGTTAAACATTTTACAAACATTACCTATTTTATTCCTCAGTATAGCCTAATAAATGAATTACTAGTCACTTTTACAGAAGAGAAAATTGAACTTTAAAGAGGTTAAGTAATTTTATCAAAGTTACATAGTTGATATGGTGAAGAACTGGAATTCCAAACAAAGTCAATCCTGGACATCGATAATGTTAGGGACTGAATTGTGTCCCCCACATTCATATGTTGAAATCCTAATCCCCCAAGTGACTGTATTTGACGATAGGACCTTTGAAGTGGTAATTAAAGTAAAATGAGATCATAATACAACATGACTGTTGTCCTTATAAGAAGAGAAAGAGACACATGGGACGCATGTGCACAGAGAAAAGGCCATGCATGTTAGGACACAGTGAGAACATGGTCACCTGCAAACCAAGGAGAGAGGCCTTTGCCTGCCAATACCTTGGTCTTGGACTTATAGCCTCCAGAATTGTGACAAAATAAATCTCTGTTGTTTAAGTCACTCAGCCTGTGAAACTTTGTTATGGAAGCCCTAGGTATGTGAATACAGATATGAACTTTAAAAAGATCGTTTATATTGTTTGTTCTATAGCTCTCTTCTTAATGGCATACCATGAGAGCTAGTGTAAGTGCCATAAGTGCAGGACTATGGGTGTCTGACACACAACAGATGCTTAATAAATTTGTTCAAGGGAATAAATTAAGGAATGAGAACAAATTAATCCTATAGTGATGTGTTTCTGAACAGGGCTTTGCTTTGGCTAAAAAAAAAAAAATCTAAAATGCAATGTAAAAACTCCTCCCCGGCTCATGTCCTGCAATACACACACGATTTAGTGAAAAGCGCTTCTCTCTTCTGCAGGTAGCACCGTGCCTAGACTTCCAGCTCTCACTGGTCAGCATTTGGTGTCTCCTTTGGTGCGTCATCCCACAATGATGGCTCATCACTAATTCATCCAGCAACATCTGTGGTGCCCCTAGTGTCCTGCCTCTGTGATCACAAATCACCACTGCCTCTCATAGAAACTTCCCTGCTCAGTAACTATTTATCCAGGGGAGACACAATGCCTAAGGCTGAGTCGATCTCCAAAGACAAGCTAATATGAAACTGCTAGCTGATCCCTCAAGAAAAATGAATTTTTAAAAAAGCTGTTTTAAATTTGAATAAAGTATTACCACAGAGTAATGCCATATTTGATCCCTAGAGAGGACGACAAGTTTTGTTTCATTCATCACCTTACTTCATAAGCACAGAAATGGAGGCCCAGAAAAGTGAAATGATTCACCCTTTCATGGTCTTTCAGGATCTTGCCACTCAACATATGGTCCAAGGATAAGCAGCATTGGCGTCACCTGACTACTTGTGAGAAGTGCAGAATCTCAGGACACATCTAGTTCTGCTGACTTGGAATCTGCACTTTAGAGTTGGAGGAGTGCAGGTGAAGCAGTGACAATGTGAAGATTTGAATCCAGATTTTGTAATTCCTAAACCAAGGTTCTTTGCCCACATGCTTCATCACCAGAGCTTCTTAAAATGTGCCCCATCCTTTCATTAGTCTCCCCCCAGTGCTTTGATTCTGATGGTAGACCATCAATTGGGAAGGTAGGTCAGTTGAGACCTCAGGGTTCCAGGGCCTTGAAGGCTTTTAAATCATGGAACCTATTTACTCCCTACAGAACTGCGCCTACTCAGGGCTACCCCATAGAGTAGAACAGTGCCCATTTCCACATACAGCTGCCACTGATAACCTATATCATCATGTTTCATCCTCTTAATAATGCATTGACGGAGGCTTGTTTAGCCCTATTTCATAGATGAAGAAACTGAGGCTCAGATAACAGAAAAAAATAATTAACAGAAAACAGTGCCCATTTCCACATACAGCTGCCACTGATAACCTATATCATCATGTTTCATCCTCTCAATAATGCACTGAGGGAGGCTTGTTTAGCCCTATTTCATAGATGAAGAAACTGAGGCTCAGATAACAGAAAAAAATAATTAACAGAACCTTTGCATTGCTGGTTTCTCAGGCTGAGCAGAAGGATGCATCCCCTAAAATCATAAAAATCATTGAGAGGCAGTTCTGCAGTTACTTAGCTATCAACACTTCAAAACCTCTTGAGAGCCCTCTATAATTCTGGGTGACCATCACTTCTTTCCTCCTGTAGGATAACGGCAAAAGTCATGATTCTGGGCACCTCTGGCATTCTTTTTTGTATTCTTCTTCAATCAGTCCTGCAGCCTATAACAATGAGTGTCCTCCCTTCTCCCATGTGATACAACCAGCCAGTTCCTTGAATGTGTATATTCATTTCATGTTAGATGTTCTGCTGAAACCCTGAGACCCTTGAAATGGAGCTGGGATGCATTTATGATGACAATGGGTGGGTGAGCCCACGTGCTCTCTCTCCTTTGTTCCACACTGACAGGAAGACATGAATGTCAGCTCATTCCCTTGGGATCACTTGTAGGTTGTAATGTCCACACCTTAGCTTCTTTAGTCATGGTGAGATGAAAAAGAAACAGAGCAGCTATAGGGAAGACCTTCAGATTCCAAATAAAACCATGGATAAGATAAATGAATACTGTGACAGACATTCCATATGGAAAGAAGGCGTGAACTATTAATGTGGCAGCTGGAGGAGACAAGGGGCATGCCATGTGCGTTAACGCTCTACCACAAACCATTTCCCAGGATGATCCACTGCCTTCTGGCAGCTCTGTTGACCCTGCACGTGCAATTTCTAGGCATTCTTCATCTTCAAAAAAAATATCCCTTTCCTATTTACTTATGAGTAACAAGAATAAGTAGAGGAATATTTTTGTTCTGGCAAAAGTACTACATCTTGAGACCCTAAGGATCCTTACATAAGATACTGGTGGACTCAAAGATTTGCCAGTATTATATGGATTCCTGTGGGTTTTGTGGCCAGTCAAGGAATTTGTGAGTTTCTATTATTATTCACAGTTTCAGTGAACTGCTGGTCAGTCCTACCGAGACTGAGTTAGAGACAGAGCCAAGTAATACCATTTCAGTATTTTCCTACTGCTTCTTCATTTAATCTGATGTACATACTGTGTAAAGAGTGCTTCACAATATGCTAATCCTTTTATTCACTAGACAGTGCATGTTAGAGCCCCGTTCCTACGGACAGCAGCTTTATAAAATCAACTCTGACTCAGTAGGTGTGTGAAATGAGATTCTTTCTAACTCATCCCATGGTGGTTTAGGATAAGGACAGAGATTTTTTTAGTGTTCTAGTTAGAGTTGAAATGCTGTGTAGTATATAGCTGTGTAATTTTTTATCCCAAATTGACGATGTCTGAGTGCATGGATTTTATACTTCATAGGAATTTCAATAAAAAAGAGAATGCTCTTGGCAAAAGAAGAAATTCTGCTTTCTTATGTATAGGGCTAGGGCTTTTCTCATTTGGGAATGGAGAGTTGACAATCATATGAGGTTGAAATTATGGTGAGTTGTGTATACAAAGTACTGTGGTTATGAACTTGACATCAAGCCATCTATAGTCCACCTGCTAATTATGTGGCTTGAACAAGTTACTCCTCTCTTTGAGCCTCAGTTTCCTTTTATGTAGAATAGGAAGCCTCAGTTGCATCTTTAGTAATAAAACTTCTGATATTAATGTGAGGAGTAAAAGATACTGAGGTAGGTTATCACTGGAAGCTTTGTGTAGAGAATGGCTACTCTCTACTGGAAGGGTTTGAACAAGCCCATTTCTAGTATGTCTTAAAGGATTCTTTATGGTTCTGTCTGCTCCAGTGCATCTTAGCTGTCCCTTTACCTGATGGATAATTCCATCATTAGAGTCAATCCCCCGGACACCGTTAGGGTCAAAGTTAAGGATTATTATTTTACTTAGATGGTTAAAGCATAGTCCTAAATAACTTAGCCAAATTTTTTATTGGGTCTTTGCATTTAATGTTGAGAATACTGAGGGTCAAAAACTAATAGTTAGTAAAAAGTATCCCTGGAATCCCTAAGTCTGTGTCTCATGCACTGTATACAAGCAACACAAAATTGGACATATGAAAATTGAGAAGTCCTCATCCTTTGGTCCATGCACTAACCTAATGGGATCAACAAATCAGTTACCCTGGATCTCACAGCTCAGATACAAATCAGGAGGAGCCAGATAGAGACAACTGGGGCCACAATATAACACTGTCATTTGAGAAGCCACTAAAATGCACATGAAAAAGCACTGGGAAATGTCATGCAAATGTCAGACATTTTCATTATACTTGATAATGGGCAGGTGTTAGAGTACTATATCTAATTTGCAGCTGCACAATTTAAATAGGAAAGTTTGTCCAAATAACATCCCCAGGGACTGGGAACCCCAAAATACACAATGCTGCTGAGATCTGGAGCCTCCCAGACTGAAATCTCACAGCCCAGAACCTGCTATTGAACCCACATCTTTGAGTGCCGGATGAATGTGCTCCTACCCTCAAGCTCCTCCAGACCTCTGTGGCCAGATCTTAAGAGGGATCTCAGGATCTTGGGGTGTTCCTGTAAATCTAACTTCCTCCCTCAAACCTTATCACCACACCTCAATCCAGGAGTCAAAAGGAAGGCCAGGAGCTCTGTGTGTTCTGGATAGAACAACCCTGCCCCTGGTTGTCCACACCTGCATGGGTGGGAGAGAAGATGGGGCCCTAGAACTCTGACCAGTCTTGGCGAGCTCCTCACCCCCATGCCCTGAGCTTTCCTTGCTTCCCCACTACTTTGCTTTGGACACTCATTATGGATCTCATTGTTTTCTGTACCCATCTTTAAGTCAGTCACCACAAGAAGGTGGGACTCTCAGGTCACCCTTCAACCATCCATTCTAATCTCCAAAAGGCAACACTTCCTATTAACCAACAGTTTTGTGTCCCAACCTTGCTAGATTCAGCATCCCCTTCCATGCTTTCTTGTCTCCATAACATTCATCATCACACAAACATACACACACATGGAAACCCATGCACATTAGCTTGTCTGTCTCCCCCGCTAGAATAGAAGATCCATCAGGATAGAATTTTTCCTGTATTGTTCACAGCTTTATCTATATTTCCTGGCATATAATAAGCACTGATTATACATGGCTTGTATAAATAAATGAGTGAATAAGTGAACAAATGAATTCTGCCCCAAGCTGTGGAAGCCCCCAGAAGCTGTAAATATAGTAAGTCAAAAAGGACAGAGAATAGTCCGCACCAATTAGCCAATTAGAATTAGGCTTTTTTTTTTAAAGTTTATTTATTTATTAATATTGTTATTTTTTTTACATTATAAGATGATGTTGCAGAACAGTTTGGGGAGGAGGAAAGGGAAAGGGGGAAGGAAATAGGGTGGGAGAAGGAAGGGGGGCATGGTTAAGGACCATGTCACCCCCCTCATTCCTGCAGGGGAGACCAGGGGGCTTCTGGAGGTAGCTCAGTTGTTGCTGGGCTGGATGCAGATGTCAGGGGGCTGTGGCTGAAAGTATTGGGCTTTTGACTACTTTCATATTTGCTATTAATGGAATAGTGGACTGACGCTGTAAGCTGCACTGCCTAGCTCTCAGAGGGAGAATTTTATGCCTCCATCAAAAAAAAGCTGAGACAGGAAGGCTATCTTATAGAAACATTTCATTTAAAAAATGATTTTGAATCTTCTTCAACTAAGAGTACAGATATTCTGATTACCTTCTGTCCATAGCTCCATGAACTTCCAGGTCTTACCAACCAGAGCTGACAAAGAGGAACAGAAGACCAATGTAGAGTCTAAGTCATAAGTATAATGAGTGATTATTATATGAGTAGAAATTGAAAAGAAAAAAACCCGATAAAAACATAAGAGAAAACATGAGGCTAGCTGTTGCTCCATACGTAGTACACAGGAGGCTCTCAATACCTGTTTATTTAATAATAAATGAATAGATAAGCTTGTAGAACATTATGTTAAGAGAAATAAGCCAGGCCCAGAAAGAGAAATACCACATGTTCTCACTCACATGTGGAAGCTAAAAAAAGTTGATCGCATAGAAGTAGAGAATAGAATAGTGGTTCTTACAGGCTGGGAAGGGTAGAAAGAAGAGGTGGATTGGAGGAGAGGTTGGTTACCAAATACAAAATTATAACTAGATAGAAATAAGCTCTAGAGTTCTATCACACTGTGAGGTGACTATAATTAACAACAACTTAGTACATATTTTCAAATAGCTAGAAAAGAGGATTTTGAATGCTCCCAATACAAAGAAATTATAAACTTTTGAGGTGATAGATATTCTAATTACCCTGATTTAATCATTACACATTTGAACATGTATTGAAATATCAATATACAGCCCGTAAATATGTACAATTTTGTGTCAAATAAAAATAATAATAAAAGCAAAAATAAAAATAAATTAATAAATAAATGGCAAATTGTCTAAAGGAGTGGCAATGGGTTAAAGGAAAAAAAACAATTTAGCAAGAAAGAATTTTACCACTTGTAGGCCTCGGTTTTTTATTTCTTTGAATGGTCAGACTTCAAAATGATATAGGATCATTTTAAGAAGTATTTACAAATTGTCATGAGGATATCTACATGTACCCATAGTAAATATTAGTTATTTATATATTATTATTATATTATATATGTACACATATAATATTATTTATATGTACACATTATTATATATGTACACATATAATATTATTTAGAATATAACAGAAAAAATTAACCAGATTTTAGATATATATAATTCTCAAATATATTAGTTTTTAGTAGTCTTACTAGTCTTCATAAAACTATAATTCAATGCATGCTCTGTTGTGAAGATGTCATTGCTTAGTCATTCAATTCCTTTATTTTACTTATAATTTTATATTTTAAAATAAGACATCATATAGTAAGAATGCTGTTGGCCTAGGAGTCAGAAGCTATGAGTTCTTCTCTAGGTTTGGAATGATTAAATCCTGTGGACTCTGCTGTGAACTGCCTGCTTATGGCTCAAGCATTTAATAAACTAATTTATTTTAGTTTTGGGTTTTGAAAGAATCATATAGTAAGAATGCTGTTGGCCTAGGAGTCAGAAGCTATGAGTTCTTCTCTAGGTTTGAAATGATTAAATCCTGAGGACTCTGCTGTGAACTGCCTGCTTATGGCTCAAGCATTTAATAAACTAATTTATTTTAGTTTTGGGTTTTGAAAGAAAAAAAATGTATTGTTTTACATTAATGAAAATTTAGAAGTAATGATTTACTAAATTTTTGGTCAAAATACTTCACAATGATAAATCCAATAACGACATGTCAATATTATTTATTGGATATTAGTTTGTTACAGGTATGAATACATGGATCTGGAGCTATTCATGGTAAAAATATGACAAAGGAAAAATATAAATGCAGTTTTTTCACGTTAAATCCAATAACGACATGTCAATATTATTTATTGGATATTAGTTTGTTACAGGTATGAATACGTGGATCTGGAGCTATTCATGGTAAAAATATGACAAAGGAAAAATATAAATGCAGTTTTTTCACGTCAAAACGAAAAGCTGAGGTGTTCCCAGATTTAGCTGCATTACAGACTGTCACGAGACTCATTTTTTCTAGGTAGTGCCATTTCCTTTGTCTACTCTAAAATTTTATTTGACCTAAAGCCTTATGTTTTCTTGACAGTCAGAAATGGCAATCAGTAGATCATTCTATATCCAAGTTTGTTCAAGTATGTTTTAATTTTCAGAGTTTTTATTTCATAGAATCATAGATCTTCTA